CTCCAATCTCCGGCAGATCTGCCTTTTTGGTGACCCAGCTGCTTGCAGTCTGTAGAGACAAACCCGGGTTTAGCCAAGGAGCCTTTTCTGGGAAATGATGCCCTGGCACCTGGAGCTGTGTTGGTCCAGATGYCCTCTCTATGTGTGCAGCAGGATGCTAATTACAGCACAGCTAATTACAGCACAGCTCGCCAGATGCTTACACACTGACAAGGGTCCTGGCATACATTTCTGTTTGCCTAGCAGGCCCTAATGACACATTTCTCCCTATTATTCTCTGAATTTTGTAGTGTTCACAGTACATTCAGAAGCCCAGCATAGTGGATGCGATTTTTTTTTTTAAAACACTAGAAGAAATCAGAAGAAACCTTAGTGGGTTTGCAGGGTCACTTTGTGGCCTGGGACACCATGGGATCCTTCAGCACACGCCAAGAAGTGGAAAAGCTGAAAAAAACCATGGTGCACAAAGCTGAAAAAACCATGGTGCAAACACATTTTTATCCTTGTTGATGCAAAAAAAAAAACCCAACAAGAGACACCTTCAAAGATGTACAGTTTGTTTTTGTTTTTGTTTTTTTTTTTACTTTTAAACTGATCTGCTAAATAATATATTCTTCTACGGAAACGGGTGTTGTCCTTGTTTTATTTTGTGTATTTKCTCAGATGAGAACTGTCTGTGCTCCTAAAACCAGAGCTCCCATAATGAGTACAAGGTAAGGGGCTGTTCAGGAGAGGGAAGGGATGTTTTTTCCTTAGAGRAGAAGCTCCAGATTTATTCCTGTGGTAGATCACGAGTGCAGCACCAGAATTGCTTCAATTCCATTGATGGTTTTGTACTGGYTGGGAGCCAAGCTCTGCCTGGGATCTGCAGCTGTGAGCAAACAATGCTGTGATTAAATCCTGGGCACCACCTCACCCAGGGAAGGCTGCAATAAATAAATTCCCCATCCTTGTGACCACAAAATGAAGCCACAGTCATGCTGTTTACCTGCTGTGCCCCTGGTGTGTCCCAGCTRAGAAAGGTTGTCCTCCCTGAGGGTTTCAGGTGTTGCCATGGCATGGCTGCCTCCTRCTCTGGAAATTCAGATTCATTTTCCTGTTGTTTCTGCCCATTAATTCTGAGTTTAACTCTTGCATTCTACCCCAGTGTTGGGTCTCTTTCAGCTGGACAAAACTGTGATTTCAGTTACTCTCCAGCTTCTCAGGGAGATCAAAATCACCTCAAAATTTCCATCCCTCTACCTCGTTCCTACCTGAAAGTTTCCAGAGAGCCAGGACAGACCCACAGCTAGTTCTGTCTGGTGGTGCTTTCTCCTTTAAACAGTTTTTGTGTGTGGTTTTGGGCTTTCTGTTGCAAATTGGAAAGGTTCTGATTCCTGGATTTGAGCAGATCCCAAGGGAAATGGGAAGATCCAAGCACAGGGTCAGGTCCAGCTCACAGRCCTCTTCATGAATGGATGAACTGCACTCCTGTTTTCATTAACCTCAAACTTCTGATGCTTGAAAGTTGAATCTGAATTATGTGGGTTTTGCTAAATCTCATAATCCAAAATCCCAGTCGYGGCCCAGATTGTTCTGCTGTTGAGTTCTTCACTACTTTTGCACCAGTAAATCGAATTTACGCTCTCATTCAAGCGGATTTCCGTCACAAATCATCTCCCAGGAGCCACAAACAATTGCTCAGGCATTGCCAAGCCCTGCTCTGAGCCACTCACAAGAGATGAGAAAACCTGCTGTACAAACTTCACTGAAGAAATTTGTTAAGAGTTAGATCCTTATAGGAAGTTTTGTTTCAGCTGGAAGGATTTTCTCCTGCCGCAAACCCTAATCCAGCAAGTATTTATCCATGTGCTTAACTCCCACCAGCCTAATCATGCACCCTGGCATGGAGGAGCACCTTGCACAGTGCAGGCTCCTTGGCTTTCCCTCACTGGAGTGCAGGGGTTTTTTTTGGGAATTGATGGCTGGTTTTGGCTCCACTGTTTTGAGGAGCAACCAAAAAACTGTTTACTGGAGAAAGATGAATGGAAGACATCGGTGAAATCCTGCTGAATTCCTTGGAGCTGCATCAGAAATGTGGGAAGAGGGAATGCAGCCCATCCTCAGGGCTGTGGTGCTGGGAGGGTTATTGAAGGAACAGGCAACTCCCAGGCTGCTATTCACAGGCAGCTGTAAAAAAAAMCCCATGCAATCATAACCAGCTAATGGCATAAATGCAAATACCACAGCATTTTTTAATCTCATTTGTCTTTGTAATATTAGATTTCTGAGAGACAGTCCTCCTGAGATATGTTTAACCAAGGGAGACGCAAGGCATTGTCTCATAATTCTAGTTTCTTCTGCTTTTCCCACAATATTTAACACTGTGATTCATATGCTAATTAAAGGATTCGAGGATCTTGGCAATCAGCCCATTAAAATGTCACACATTTCCAAGGTGACATTTTAAAACTAGACTTAGCATGAGAATGAAGTTTTTCGAGGCAGGCAGAGAGATGTCTCAAATGGGATTTAATATTTTTCTCACCCTATTCCAATGAAAAATAAGAGCGAATATTAGATCTCAGTGTTGTTTCAGTGTCTCACAAAGAACTTTTTATGAACTGTTGCAATTTCCAGCATCACGACAGAGCTCTGTGCRTCCCAGCCTTGCATTGCTACTCCTGGAGTTGGGACCAAAGCTGAACAGGAAATGGGATGTAAAATTCTGCACCATTTAGCCTGGGAAACTAATGATGAGCTCTGGGATTTTACTTCTTCTTTTTTTAAGGCTGTGGGATCCCACAGCCCATTACTCCTTTTTTTTTTTGGTATGGTTTGATAATCAGGTCAAGCTAGGGCTGCATGTCTCGGGAAGAAAACAGCTTTTTAAAAAATGTGAGCACCCCCACGGCAGCCAATTTACAAGGGAAATTTAGTGTCTGTTAATGCACAGGCCRTGTAATGCCACAGGAGTGTCTGTACATGGAAATTGTTCATCTCAGAGCTCCTCTGAGCAGCCGTAACAGCAGCATCTGCTCCACGTGGGAGAAGCACTGTCATGCATTGTGCAATTTTCCCGTTTAAAACAGCAGGTTTTTACTGCAAAAACAGCAGGTTATTACTACCACTTTTCTCTGGAAACACCTGAAGAACAAGCCTTGCCTTCGTACCTGGTCTGTGGTATTAAGAGAATGCACTCTGATCAGGATTTCTGTCCAAGGGCAGCCTCGTGTAGGATTATCCAGCTGCTGCTCTGACTCCCAGCTCTCAGAAATCAGAAATCAGGCACATCCCAGCTCCAGGCTGTGTTCAGAGGACACCAGGCAGGTCCTGCCCTCCTGAGCCACCCTTGTGAATGAGCAAAATGCAGTAAAGACTTCCTGAAGTGTKTTTTAAAAGGTTTGGGTGCTCCAAGGTGAGGTGGCAGAGCAGCAGGTGACCTCTCCTTTCTCTCAGCTCTCCAGGGCAGTGCCTGGGCAGAGGTGGGGTTTGGACTCTGAAAAAATGGGACATTGGAGATCTGTGCATGAATGCTGTGACAGCACAAAAAAAAAAAAAAAACCCAGAAAGTCATAATAATAAAATTAATAATCTGTCACTGGCTTCAAATCCCTTCTGGAGTGAGTCAGTAGGGCTGCCCTCTCTTTTCAAAGAGGGAGATGCACATTTGTAAGGCCTCTGGTGATTTTTGGGTGCAAAACCCAGCAGTTCCCATTACCAGAAAATAAAAACTTCTGTCCAAACCCACTTATTAAATGTCCTCATAAATGAAGGAGCCGTCCCCAACAGATCAGACCTGGTGGTGTGGCAGATCTGGCTCTTGGTTAGTGAGAACTCAAACTCACAAACTCAAGGAAAAAAAACCTTTCTGGCTATTTTGGCACGCAGTCAGGAGTCACAGGTGCACTCAGGCACGAGCACACACATAAAACAGCTATCTGCAGACATTTTTGTAACACCACTCTTGGCTCTGTTGCAAGACAAACTTAGAAAGCGGGAGGGTTTGGAAAGTGTAAACCGGTGTTGTCGCAGCCAACGTTTGCTATAAAGTCTCTGAGGAAAAAAAATCTCTGTTTTCCAAACTGCGTGGAAGCGCAGTCACTGCCTGGCTGGCAGATCCTCTGCCCCAAAGCTCCGGACTGACAGGGACTTGGAGCACCTCGGGGTCATTTCATAGGAAAAAGAGCTCATTCTCAGCCCACTGATGGTGTTCTGGGCACAGGGCAGCTGGGACATGCTCCAGGCTGGAAAATGGCACGAGAAAATCAACACAGAAACAGATAAATCCTCCTCAAATTTGCCTGCCCAAGCCATGCCCCCTGGAATGCCCAGTTAGCAGCTGCCCTGAGCCAATTTGCCCCACAGGGCTCGTGCTGCCACTTCAGGGCTGGCCAAAACTTGTAACTTGTTCTTAAGGACATTGGCCAAACGCATCTTAAACACCAAAAGGC